CATTATGTCACATTTGAAAAAGCTTACGAGCTAACCAAACCACATGAGAGCTCTTTACACCTTCAAAAATGGCTCCTGATCCCTGTATCACTGACTTTATCTAATACTATCTAAATTCTAACTTTGCTATTCACCAGCTTAACCCTGAGCAGCTTGCCCTTTTCTTCATCTCCTTTTTATCCCTTAAATTGATGTGCAAGTTCAGTTTCTTTTCTCCAATCATGACTCCTTTTTTCAACTAATATTTAGAACTACCTCATACAAAACAACCATATGTAAATAACTTTCTGGTTGAACTCCATCCCTAGAAACTCCTATCTCATTGCTCAAAAACCCAATCCATGTAAAATTATGTACTCATTTGTAATTTATCACATTTTGTACACAGAAGGAACTTCAGCACATACCCAATGTATGGAGTAGGGGAAAATCAGTTACTTACATTGTTCATGTACTCTGAAAGCAGGTCCTGGAGAGCCTGGCGAATGGCATTGCATTCTGCAATAATCCGCTCCCGATGGAAATCCCTTGTGCATGAAGAGTCGGCCAACAGAGCTGCCCCACTAATAATGGCTTCAAGGCGTTTCTCTAGTGATGGTCTAATTTCCTCCTCAGTCACTGTGAGTGGATCCAAGACAATTAAATTCTAAAGGGAAAACACATTCACATGGTTAGAACTCCACAATATTATTTTTCAAGAAAAAAAAATTGTTATTTTGTTTTCACATTTAGAAATTCATGTATGATGATAAAGAGAATTGTGTTTTTACTGCTTCACGGAGTTCACACATAATTCTATATAGCAATCATAATTCAGGTTAGTAACAAAATTGTGAAATTATCAGTATCGGTTCTATTATCAGTCAAACTTGTATTAAAATCTTGCCCTTGCCACTCACCAATGGTGACACTCAGGTATCTTATGCACTGTGAACCTCACCTTCTTGATCTGTAAAACTGGAATATTAACATTGCTTGTCACATAAAACTACTGTAAGAGTGATAAGAATGCTTAATACAGTGCCTGGCACTTATTAACTATTATTTACAATAGTCACTTTTATACAACACTTCATTGTTTACATAGTATTTTTACATATACTATCTCATCTAGACAACTCTACAAAGAAGAAGGTAGCAAAGATATTGTTAACCACACATTTTAATTGACGGTGAGTGAGGCTCATATTGTCTTGTCCAAAGTCATTAAGCTAATAAATGGTGAAGTTCACACAAGTATCCAGGTCTTATAATACCTAATTCAATATTGTTTTCATTATGCCTCACTGTAAATCATATTCTCTAATTAACCTTACCACTAACATATCAAAGAGAATTCTGAATTTTAATTATTCCTTTTAAAAGTAAAATTCCATCTTCCTGTTGATCTATTATAACTTCCAGCTATTTACCACTATTGGAACCTGACATGGTATTTTTAGAGTTTCCATTAGATATAAGTCTTCAGGCAACAAAAGTCAAGATAATTTACAGCCTTTGAAGAAAAGGCAGAGGGTGTGAGGCTATAAGGGTCCTATATTAAAACACATCAAGAGAGGAAGACTTTCAATGTTTAGGTATAATGTGGTAATTGAAGAAAGAGTTAGTAACAAATAAAAGCTCTCTGTAGAAACTTTAACACAAAATGAAATCATATAATGATCTTTAAAATGTGTATGCCTGTGTGAATTTATACACATACAGACACACACTGAAAATCACTGATCTTCAGAATGTGCAATCTTTCTTATAAGATTTTATATATTTAAAAATATAGAGAGAGGTATATATATATATATATGTATATATATTGTGTGTATTATATATAGATATAACTTTATATTGATGATCGTACTATATTACATTATGATAAATATTTAGGGATCAAAAGTAGTCAAGGAAATATTTTAAAAGCTACAACTCTAGGCAAAGCTGGGAAGAGAAAATCATTATAGAAAGAAAAATAATTGTAAAACAGTTATAAAAAAAATAGTACCGTGTAATTCACATAAAATACAATACAAAATATAAAATAGAAATAGCTCTTATATAAAATTGGTTAAATGCCTTTAAATTATTCAGAAGAATTCTTCCTTTCATAACTCTATTTCCTTCCTATTTTTCTACTTCTCTACTGAGTCTCTCCATTTTTTTCCTTCAGATGGAAAACAGTTTTTAACAAAGAAAGAAAATTAATTTTACAAATGCCAAATTTAACACTTTTCTTTATTCAATGTGTGATGAGATGATAATACTGTAAACCAAGGATTCATTTAAATCTAAATCTACTTCCTTATTTCATTTGCCATTTTCACCATGCCTTCTTTGGTTCACTAATTTAGTACAAACATTCCACTCCAATGTTTCATAACAATAATTAGACTAATTAAAACCTTTTTGAAAATGTCCTTCCAATGTGATACCATCATCAATAAGAGACACTGAGGGCAACAGAATTACTCTTTGATTGCTCAAATGCAGTTAGAAGATGAGATAGGAACAGTTAATACGCTGATACGTCTCCAGCATTGTGGTGATAGGAAAACATGATTAAGTTTGAAATCTATACACCTGTAAGTATTATAAGAAGAAACTAATAATTTTTGGTGTTCTGGCTGTGATTTCATGTCAGAAAACGGTAAGTTTACTCCAGTTCCTGCTCTATAAAGCCATTCTTTAAAATATCCTAGCCTTTGGATTTTTATTGCTTGGCTTTTAAGACTTTTCAGATTCTTTTTTTTTAATTTAATGTTATTGAGTTATAGTTAGTTTACAATGTTGTGTCAATTTCCAGTGTAAGACTTTTCAGATTCTTCAAGATCATCTAAACTCAAACCATTACCTCCTCTGATATATGATGTCACATGCAGGCCTCTTGATTCTGTCTAAATTTACTGTCTTCCTATTCATATCCTATGAAAGTTTTCACTAATTTTGTCATCAAATCAACTAAAAGATGAGCTTTTAAAATAACCTGAATGTTCTATGAAATATCACTGGATATTTGAGACCCACTGAAATAAAGAATTATCTCTTCTGGACATCAGTAAGATGATGAAATAGGAGTTTCCATACCTCATACCTCATACCCTCATAGAAATAGTGATTTAAACAATAACCCATGGATGAGAATACTTTAATGAAAGCCTGGGAGTACAACTGAGGGGTTCCAGCATCTATACGGAATAAAAAAAAATCAAAATCAAAGAATAGAAGCATTGAAGATAAGAAGAACAGTTTTACTTTACCTATGTCACCCCTCTTCCAAGTCAGCAGAACCCAGGCCAAGAGAGACTTACCTTGGTCTGCAATTTCTTCCATTGGAAAAAGTGAAAGCAAAGTGAATGCTCAGCTCCCCAGCCTTGTGAGGCACTGCCTAAGAGTCCCATTTCCAGTCCCCCCACCCAGAACATTGAGGGGACTGAAACAGCTAAATAATCTGGGGACAGCAAGAAGAATAGAAAAGGGGTAGGAGTGCACAGCAACAAAAACATGGATCTCAAAAATCAGCAGCAGATCCCACTAGCTAGATTGCAGATTTTAATAAGAGCCCCACTCGTGAACCCAGTAGGACCCCCCACCTGCAGACCCCATGATTAGCCAATGTGCTCCCCCAGTGCTCCATACACCCCCTCCTATAGCCAATACTTCATGCTCCCCTGCAGACAATACATGCGAGCTCCCACAGACAGCAGACAAGTATCAGCATCCAGCTGGACCTGCTGGATTGGGAATAGGTGCACAACTCTAAAGAAATACTTCAGGGCATTGCCCTAGAGAAAATAAATAGGAGGTTCTCAGCACCTGGTCTGGATTTATGGGATCAAGAGAAAGTACAGTGTCTAAGTTCAAAAATTCAAAATAGATTGTTCAAAATAGACTCAAATCATTTCAAAAGACTATTATAACTATAAAATGTGTTATGTAAAACACATGATGATCATAAAGAAAAAAACCTATAGTAGATACATAAAAGATAAAGTAATCAAAGCATAGAACCATAAAAATTCATCAAATCACAAAGGAAAATAACAAGAGAGAAAGAAAGGAAAACAGGAACTACAAAATAGAAAACAGTTAACAAAATGGCAATAGTAAGTCTTTTCTTATCAATAATTACTTTAAATGTAAATGGACTGAATTCTCCAATCAAAAGACATATAGGGTCTGACTAGATACAAAAACAAAAGCAAAATCAAAAACGAAAAACCTAAATCCAACTATATGTTGCCCCAAAGAGACTTACATTAGCTTTAAAGAAATTGAAAGGATGGAAAAAGGGGGTAGCTATAATTGTAATCAGACCAAATAGGCTTTAAGTCAAGAACTGTCATGAGACAAAGAATAACATTATATAATGATAAATGGGTCAATTAATCAGAAGAATATAACAATTATATATAGGAGAAAAAATGGAAAATTCATATATATGTCAAAATTAAACAACACATTCTTGAACAACCAATGGGTCAAAAAAGAAGACAAAGAGGATTTTAAAATATCTTCAGACAAATGAAAATGGAAACATAGCATACAAAAAATTATGACATGCAGCAAAAGCAGTTCTAAGAGGGAAGTTAACAGCAATCAATACCTACACTAAGAAAAGAAGAAAGATTTCAAAGAAAAAAAAAAACCCTAACTTTACACCTCAAGAAACTAGAAATAGAAGAACAAGCTAAGCCCAAAGTTAGCAGAAGAAAGGAAATAATAAAGATGAAAATAGAAATAAATGAAATAGAAACTAGAAAAACAATAGAAAAGATCAACAAAACAAAAGGGTGGTTTCATGAAAAGATAAGCAAAATTTACAAACCTATAGCTAGACTAACTAAAAAAGAGAGAGCGAAGACACAAATAAATAGCTGTAAGTTAAATAGGAGACATTGCAATTGATTATACAGTAATACAAAGGATCATAAAAGACCCTTGTAAACTATTATATGGTAACAAATTGGATGACCTAGAAGAAATGTGTAAACTGGTATAAATATACAGTCCACCAAGACTGAATCATGAAGAAATAGAAAATCTGAACAGATCAAGATTGAATCAACAATAAAAAAAAACTCCCAACAAAGAAAAGTCCAAGATCAGATGCTTTCACTAGCAAATTCTATCAAACATTAAAGAAGAACTAATGCCAATCTTGCTTACACTTTTCCAAAAAATTGAACAGAAGGGAACATTTCCAGGCTCATTTTGAGGCCAGCATTACCCTGATACAAAAGTTTTCTGGTTTGGATATTTCTAAAAAAGAAAAGTATAGGCCAATATCTTTGACAAATATAGATGAAAAAATCCTCAACAAAATGCTAGCAAACTGAATCAACAGCATCTTAAAATGTTCATACACCATAACCAAGTGGATTTATCCCTAGAATACAAGGATGTTATGACATATGCAAATCAATAAATGTGGTATACATCATTAACAGAAGAAAGGATAAAAAGTATATGATTTTTACAATAGATGCAGCAAAAGCACTTGACACAATTCAAAAACCTTCATGACAAAAACTCTCAACAAATTAGGTATAGAAGGAATGTACATCATTACCATAAACACCGTATATGGCAAGCCCACAGCTAACACTACACTCAACAATGAAAAGATAAAAGTTTTTCCTCTAAGATCAGAAATAA